CCCATATAACGCGGCCACACCATGATGTGAAAATGATCCTTAAACGACAGGATAAACAAGGAAGGTACCTTACGTACATTTGTCAGAAAATTCAACCTCCACAACGAAATATTTCCATATGAGTAGAGGCTGATCCGATAGAACCAGATATCCGTTAAAGAAAACCGATATTGTGGCAGCCAAGTTTACAAGATCGAAAAAATCACAAACAGATCGCTCATCGACATGTTTCCAGTGTTTTTGATTTGCGTGCGTTTCGAGGATATAACATCGACTCTCAGAACACCATCTTGACAAAGGAAGATAAGCATCCGCCCGCTAATATATAGAATATATAGAAGAAGACCAAAATATGTTGGAAGGATTAGGGGAAGGGTGAAGATTTCACTCGAAATTTCACACTGGTGCAAAAAAGAAAAAGAATTAATAAAATAATGAAAAATTTACAAATTGAAACTAAAGAAATAAAATAAAAGAAAAAAATAAAAAATAAATAAAGTGAAATAAACAAAATGAAAAAAATAAACAAAATGAAATAAATAAAATAAAATAAAGTAAAATAAAATAAAGTAAAATAAAATAAAGTAAAATAAAATAAAGTAAAATAAAATAAAATAAAATAAAATAAAATAAAATAAAACAAAAAAAAAATTACAATAAAAAATAAAATAAAATAAAATAAAATAAAATAAAATAAAATAAAATAAAATAAAATAAAATAAAATTAAATTAAATTAAATTAAGAAAAAAAATAAAAAATAAAGTAAAATACTGAGTTTTCACTTAATTCAACGCCCGTGAACTTCGCTTTTGCTTTATAATTTATAACACTCTTATCTTCATCATTCCGCAAAAATGTCATATTTTTTTCCACGTCGCTACGCTTAAGAGTCTTCATTTCTTTTATTTCGAAAATATTTTTGCAACAAAATGGCAACAAAACTACCTGTTCACGCCAAATACAGTCCCAATTAGACCGTTTTACACCAGCAACAGTGTCATTATCAACGCAACAGCATCATCATGTAGGATCATTAGTGCCAACAGTAGTGGCAGCAACAAATAATACGAGTGCCTACCTGCCACATGAGTGTATGTTGTACTACGTACATAGATTTAAACAAACAAATAAACATTTTATTACTTGCAACAGTCAACACAGCAGCAGTCGCCGGCGACCATAGCGACACCGTCGCTACTTTATGACTGTACGCCACTGTGAATGCGCGCCCAAAGACCATGCGACGCGGAGGCAGAAAAAACACACTCCGCTGTCATCAGCACCGCCGAAGCGTTCGCTGTGTGCTCTGGCGACAATTATGCGCCCATAAAAACTATGTTATTCTTAACGTTTATGGATTTTTAATAATTGCACTAATTGGCCGCCAGGTGCACGAGCCCTAATGGGCTGCAAGTCAACTCCAAGTAGGTGGTAGATAACATTGCTTTGAGATTTTTTTTTATTTACACAAAAAGTTTTTTATTTATTTTCTTTCCTTTTTCATACCATTTCTGCTCCATATTTGTGGGCTAGTATTGGATTTCGCAGCCTCGCAGTTAAATAAATATTTATACCAAATGCAATTGCATTTGTTTGTTTTTTTGTTTTCTCCTAATGGATTATGTGGCGGTCTGCGCGTAATTTGCGATTCCTCAGCACGTTTCATTATAATTTTAGTCCACTTAAGAGCATTTGAAATCCATATGAATGCCTATGGCGGTGTCTACCAGTCGCTGCTGCAGCCGGTGGCAGTGCTCAGTATGGTCTGGTGGTGCAGGCGTGCTCCAGCTCGTGATTTACCCGTTGACCTCTTGTGCTACCGTATTGCCGAAGATGTCGCCCAAAAAGCCAACGCCAGTTTGCCTGGCTACTGCTGCTTGAAATTAAACGCGCTGTGGCTGCAAATCATAACAAGTTCTCTAAATTTTTTACTACTGAAGTAAGTTTTTTTTTAATTTAATTTTTTTCAACTTTCGGCTTACCTAACTTTGGTTGGGCGAAAACGTGTCCACTCAATGCGGAAGCGTGCAGGTACTTAATAAGTATTCAATTACTAGCAAATTTCGCCGCTACGTGAGGGGACCAAGAGCAAATTTTATGGCATCGAAAATTTTTATTAACAGATAATTCGTATGACTAAGGAAAGGAATTTTAAATCTGGAGAAGTTATTTTAAAATATTAAACAATTATAAATTTTATCAAAGAAAGAATTATAATAAAGTCAAATTTAATGTAATAAAAAAAATAAATTAACATAATTATATGCAACATATTTTTTAAATTACGTTTATTAGATCACAAAACACTTTCGTAGTTCTTTCAATAAATTTAGAAAATATCAAAGATTTTTTACAACAAAAGCCAATTGGCAATAATAATTGTTATATAAAATAAATTTTAAGCATTCAAAATTTACATATTTAAATGTTTTAACATATAAACTTCAAATTTATGTGTCATCTAATATTTATGAATTATACACTTCTCAAATTATGCTACTGACCGAACGTGAGCTCCACAGCCATACTGACATTATTAAAAAATGTAATTTCTCCTCTAAACTCAAAATAAAAACAATTCGTTCTCTAAACAACACTCATACCCAATTATGTATGTAATTACATAATCAATTCTACAAATATGAAATATTTTTGGGTTTCATGCGATTATTTCTTATCACAAGTCGAAGTCAGCTGCCCAAAAAATTATGGTGCGCAGCTCAAATATTGAAGAAATTATACAACAACAAAAATACTAGTTTAGATAAGGAGTGGAAATATATTACATATGTATATGTATGTACATATACATACATACATATATACTATATATTAGGGCTATGCAATTTGTTATTTATTGTTTAGGAAAGTTAACGAATACTCCGTAACTCTAAAAAAACGCTGGTTTAAATTTCTTGCTAGTATTGTACTTGAAAAATAAATAAAAGAAATATTTTATTTTTCATAAAAATATAAGAATAGTCTAAAGAATATAAAATGAAAATTTTTTAATTCATTTTGGAGAAATTTTTTTATTTATTTTGCTTATTTAGGCTAAATCAATTAATTTAAATTTATTTTTATTTTATTGCGTTTCATTTCATTTAATTATGTAAATTTATTTAATTAAATTATTTTTTTATTTAATTTAATTTTCTTTTAATAGTTTATTTTATTTCATTTTAATTTATTTTGTTTTATTTTACCTAATTATTTTTTAAATTACTTATTTAATTAAAATTCTTTTATTTTTTATCTGATTTATTTTTCTTCATTTCATTTCATTTTATTTTCTCTTATTTATTTTATTTTAAAATTAATTTAAGAAATTTTATTTTGTTTTATTTCTCTTTTATTTTATTTATTATATTTTCTGCATTTTTTTTTAATTAAATTGATTTTATTCTATATTTGGTTTATTTAATTTCATTTTTTTATTATTCTACGTAATTACATTTTTTTATGTTTTTATTATTTTATTTTGTTTTGTTTATTAATAATTCATTTTATTTCAAAGTAAAATTTTTAAATGTATTTTAATTTTTAATTAAATTTATTTTTTCTCTCTTAAATTTTTTTAATTTTAATTCGCTTTCTAATTCTGTTATTTTATTTTGTTTCTTTATTTCAGTTTTTTATTATTCTATGGTTTGTTAATTTAATTTAATTTTATTTATTAATAATTTATTTTATTTCAAAGTAAAATATTTTACTTTATTTTATTTTTTTTTAATTAATTTTTATTTTCTTAAATTTTTTCTAATTTCAATTCGTTTTCTTATTCTGTTGTTTTAATTAATTTTTAAATTTCATTTTTTTATTTTAGTTAATTTAATTAAATTTTCTTTTATGTTATTTTATTATATACATAATTAAATAAATTTATTTTCTAGTTCATTATTTTTGCTTTTCATTTTAATGAATTTTATTTTCCCTTTTTTAGTTTTACTTCTTTTTTTAACTTTAGTTTATTTTATTCATTTATTTTGTTCCATTTTTATTATTATTATTTTATTAAATATTATATTTTTTAATGTCTTAGTTTTGTGGAATTTTATTTAATTTTTTTGTTTTATTAATTATATTTTTTTTTTTTTTTTTTATTTTATGTATTTTTTTTTGTCTTGCGTTATTTGATTAAATTTAATTTAAGTTTTTGATGTATTAATTTTGTTTTTAATGTTATTTTGTTTATGTTTAAATTTTTCTTCTTTTGATTTATTTAGTTCTATTTTCCTCTTTTTAATTTTTTTGATTTGTTTCTTTATTTATTTTAATAATTGAGACAAGATTTAATTTTTCTCATATTGAATTTTTTAGTTTATTAAATTTTTTACTTTTTTTTTATTTATTTCACTTAATTTTAATTAATTAAACAAAATTATTAATTTTTAGATATATTATTATTGTGTTTTATTTTAATTTAGTTTATTTAATATTATTAAATTAAACCTGCTGGTATTTGATTTTAATTATTGTTTATTTTATATTACATATTAAACATATATATATTTGATGGTAATAAATTATATATATTTTTCGATTTTTGATTTCAATATTTAGTTTTATTTGTTTTATTTTATTTTATAAAATATTAATTAATTTTTTTTGTTTTATTGCCTTTAAGTTTAATTTAAGTCATTTGTATTTTAATTTGGTGTTAGTGTCCCCTTTTCCTCCTTTTATATTTCGTTACTGCCGCCCCCCAAATGACGAGCTTTGAAACATGAAATCCAATTCCAAACTTTGTACTGAAAAAAACCGCGCAAAGAGTCATGCTCGATCTAATATTATTTTTCAAGTGCAAGAAGCTTAGAACGTTTTATCGCTTAAAATGCCAAGAACGAGTCTAAGTTGAGGAAATAAGAAAATTTTGCAATATTTTTTATATTCTCCAACTTAATGCTTGATAAAATAATTTCACGAATGTAGCTTTCAAACGCTGAACGAACGTCTAACGCGCAACACGTGAATTTCTTTTTTGGAAATTAAGAAGAAGATGGGGCTCACGCGTATAAGTGCCGCAGCGCTACTGTGTTATGCAATAACGATTTGTTGGCAAACGGTTAATAGTGAATTTACCACCGAGGATTGCAAACAGCTGAATAATACGGTCAACGTTACCTGTACCAATGACGAAATCAATTACTACACCGTAAACTTCCAAAATGATGCTCAGTTCAAGATCTATATCACAGTAGACAATGAGACCGAAACAAATTCAATCACCATTACCTGTCAGGGCGGAGATGAGGATATATTGAGAATCAACAAGAATTTGACGAAATTCTCCTTGCAGCACCACGACTTCGCCAGCATCACCGTGGACGGCTGTATACCCTTTGAGGATATCTTAAAAGGGTTTGAAATAAAATTATCCACCGATTTCAAGTTACAACGTGGCATCACCAGCACGTCACTCAAGCCGGAACATCTGCGAAACTTAGCGGCGTTGTCGAATCTGGTGTTGAGCGGCTTCGAGAAGCTCGATGAGCAGATATTCGCAAATATGAAGAGTTTGGAGAAACTTGAGTTGACACGTTTCGAGGCACCACTGCCTGGCGGTGTATTGTCGGCGATCGGTGACAATTTGGTACAATTGAATATGCGTGATAATCGCATGCACCAGCCGCCAGAGAGGCTCTTCACGCCGCTCAACCGGCTCGAGTTGCTCGATTTGAGTTTTAACAAATTGCAGACAATTCCCAGTGGCACCTTCGATCAGCTTGAAAATCTTATCGAATTGGATCTGAGCGAAAATCGCATTGAACTACTGCCGGCTGATGTCTTTCAGTCATTGCGGGCACTCGCACGGCTTTATCTTGCCAATAATCGCCTAAAGCGGCTGGACCTAGGCACTTTTTCCACGCTCAACAACTTGCAACAGCTCGGAATAGAGAATAATGCGCTTGAAATTGCACCAATTGAAGCCTGCAAGATTTTCGATGGGCTCTCTAAACTGGATTATCTGGAATTGAGCAATAATTCATTGACCACTTATTGCCTGCCGCACAATATGAGCTCTGTGCAAGTGAGTGTGTCGTACAATCAAATTCGTGAATTGCTTGTGCCGACAGGCGCGCATCAGCCACGCCAACTGACGAAATTGAATGTTCGCCACAATAGACTCGAACATTTGAGCGATGAAGTATTACTGTATTTACACGAATCCTTGCCGGAACTCTCGCTGGCACATAACCCTTGGCAATGTGATTGGGCCTCGTCGATGTGGTTAGCTTATATTAAATTTAATAACGAACGTATAAGGGATTTGGAAGAGCTGGAATGCACCATGGACAATACCGTACGGTATGTAATCACAATCAATTCCAGTGATATCGGCAAACCCGCCTCATCAATACCTTATATAATTGCGCTTGCAATTCTCGGAACGCTGGCCACCTTGGCCGTGCTTGCAGCCTTTATTTATAGACGGAGAGCGACACGAAAATCGAATGCCGCCCCGCTCTCTAACAGTGTATCCTACAGCAATGGGCAAAATGGGCAGTATAATTAAGAAAAATAACAAATTAAATATGTATTTCGTTAGCAAAATCAATTTTTATGCAAAAAAACTTAAAAAATAAGTATTAACTTAAATTAAAATTGAAGTTAAGGACATATGTCTATATCGCATTTTTAAGTTTTATTTTTATATAATATCACGCTTTTTGTAAAAAAAAATTATTTATACTTATAAGCTTACTTCGTGTATTTTGTCTTAAATCACAATAAAGTCTGGCCACTCACAGAGGCTGAAAACGATGTGTTGACGACTTTTGAAATTGGTGTAGAGACACAAAAAAAAAACACAGCTTTCGGATAACTGATATCTCACATCCCTTTTGGGACTGAAAGAGATACCAAGTTCTGACGAAGACGGTGCTGTCAAAAAAGGTTTTACCAGTGCAAGCTGAGTGATTTCTTCTTTCGTGACATAGATACCGCTTAAGTGACTATAGCCGAGTTAACAACCTTTTCGCTATTGAATTCTATTCTTCATTATTTGACACCAATTGGATATACCAAGGACAACCCGATCCTACTCTACCTGGTCTTTCCAACGGAGTGGTGGCATTCCTTTACTTCTCCTTGCACGGCCGTTTACTGCATCGAAATATTTCAGAGCTGGAGCATTCTTATCCAGTCGGACTATATAACCTAGCCAGCGTAGTCACTGTATCTTGATTCGATGAACTATGTCAATATCGCCATATATCTCATATAGCTCTTCATTCCATCCGCTGCGGTTTTTGCTGTTCCCTACGCATAGAGAACCCTAAGTCTTACGCAAGACTTTTCTTCTGAAAACTTCTAACGCAGACATATCAGATGTTGTCACTGTCCATGCCTCCGCAACACACATGTGGACGGGTTCGATAAGCGATTTGACGTGTCTTCGTTCGTCGAGAGTAGTCCAGTTTTCAATTGCATCCTCAGTCCGAAATATCAGCTGCTGGCGAGAGCGATTCTGCGTTGAATTTAAAAGCTGACTTTTTTGTTGATTTTAATACTGAACCACTCGCTGCCGTCCTTGTCCAGCGGTGGCCTCAGCCTTGATTCCTGCGAGGACATCAACTAGCTTGGCAACGTCACTTTACCAGTTAGGGTAAAGAACATTCCAGATGCCGGCTGCGGCAGCCGAGTGGTTAGCATCGCAAGGCCAAGGTTCAAATCGTGGTTATGGAACATGAATTTAAATAAAAAATTTCTGACATGAAAATCAAAAGATTTTCATAAAAAAACTGCCAGCCGTTCGAAGGCGTCTTAGCATAAGCTATAGGTCTCCCCATTTGTTGGAAAAAACATCAAAACGCAAAACCATAATGTGGAGGAGAAGCTTGACTGAAGATTGCTTCGTTTCCGAGGAGTGTGAGGTCCGTCGACAAATAACTTGTAGTTGATTCTTTGCAAACTAGAAACGTATAGCCTCGGGGCAGTTAGGAATATTATGTTTTAGTTACTAGTTTTGTTGTTTGGTGTAATGGCCAAACTTTCATGAAGTGCTGCAGATTGTGTTGTTTAGGTCTAAGGACCCTCTACAGCTTATACAAATAAATTATTTTATACATAGTTTTCCACCATCCTGAAAAACTAAAATGCAACCTAACATCCGTGCCTGCAGGGCTAAGCAAGCCTTCTTTACTCGCAACTCTACATTAAGTATTCACAGCAACTTGCTGTCCAACGCAAACCCTAAGTACTTATTGCGGTCAGCGGTAGATACTTTTCTCCTCTAAGCTCTAAGCTCTTTATACTCTCTTGTAAATAGCAGCAGATCTGTTTAATCAGTATTTACTTTAAGTACTGCTGAAATAGTTCATATATATAATAGATATTTCGAAGTGCCACATTCACCTGAGCAAATGACTTGGATTAAAATCTGTATTTACCGAATTCCCTTGCTCCTTTGACCTATGGGATAGTATAGATTGAACAAAATCCCTTGGAAAGTTGCCGAAAAGAACGTCTTACAAAAAGTTTTGGTGCTTCCTCATTAATTTATTCTGCAGCCGCTTCGCATAAATGCTTCAAATATGTTATATATAAGAACATCCAGGTCTCCCAAGAGCAAAGTTGAGTGAAGGTGAGCAGATGTTAAACGTCTTATGGATGATCCACAATGCGCCGCAAACTTTAGAGATCCTTAAAAAGAAGGGTTTGTTTCTAGGTACTAAAAAAGCTCTAACTATTTGAAGAGCGTCAAAGCGTTTTGAGCTTTTGTTTAGTAGATCTGATTTAGTTCTAATGCATGCGTTGGTCCCGTGCGACATGAGGAGAATATCATTTGCTTACCTTTTAAAGAAAATATCACTCAACAATATATTAAGTACTTCCTTAAGCACATATTAATGATCCAGATACTATATTTAAAGCCATTTTGATCTTACTTAAATGATTTCAAACATTTTATTCGTAGATTGCCTTAAGGTTGTGAGTAAACCGTTCGCCCAGTTCTCAGCCATGAAAATTGGTAGAGCTGGCAATGAGAGTAAGGAAATTTTATTTTGATAAAAAAAGAAAAAACAATAAAATAAATTTAATCGCTTTAAACAAGAATAACACGCCAACGTCGCCACAAATTGCGCACAATCAAAAAAAAGTGTTCCCATGAAGAATAAATAATAAAAAGGCGCAGAGCATGAAAACGCACATATAGACATACACATTGACAAATGCCGTTAAGCATACTTGAGCACAAATTACATACAACAATCATCGACTATAAATGAAAATAATTGAAATAAAAGAGCGTACAATATGTTTTTGAGTATCAACTCCTGCAACAACAATGCATTTTGTATATCCTTGCGTGTCCTTACGTATTCACATCTACCAACATTTACAGCCTAAATGAAGAATGATGAGCTGCGAATAATTGAGTAACCAGTCGAAATGTGAATTTACGCTTAATAAAATACAAAACAATATTGAACACTTCAACGACAGCAGCGCCGACACGAGCACGAACGCTAACGAAGCGCCGCAAGGACAATAGGAAGTTTGTGTTTGAGTGTGCGCGTTGTGTGAAAGTGTGTGCTGAAGTGCACTAAAATAGCAAATAATGTTTGTAATAGTAACGTTTATAATCTAAACATACATACCTCACACAGACAAACATATTTGTTTCCACTGCAATGAAAGCCTGCCGCCAAGGGATGATCCTTAATGCTAAACGCAAATAAAAAGCAATGCAAAAGTACAAAATAACACAAGTAATTGAGTATAAATCGTGAAGCGCACAGAAAGCTACATACTCACACACACATATGCATATATTTATTTATAAAAAGATGCCTTGAAGGGCGCACACCCCGCGTTCTATGGTCGTGATGCGCAATTAATAACTACGACGTGCAGTAGGCATGAGACACACAAGGCTCAGTATGCAGAGCGAGGGTGTTTGCCACAATATGTTGCAGGTTTCAAGTACTGCTTGCAACCCTTGTACTAAATGCACCATTGATGAGCCATGGCGAATGCCTCTCATCTTTGCTGCTGATGCCGTCCTTGCCTCGGGACTATTTTTCATATTTTTCTTTAGCGACATAAGCAACACTTACCAATACGACTCTGGCTGAGCGCTTATAACGTGGGAAAGTCTTACGCACCAGTCACAGCCAGTCACCAGCCTTCAGCGAACAGCGTCCGTAGCAGTTGTAGTGGCTTGATTTGGCTTTGGCAGCGCTAGTCGAGTGTATGCGGTGTGTGTACGTCAGTTTCAAGAGCTTGTATGCCTGTTTCATGACGTAAGGATATGCGCGTGAAATGACTAACGTGCGTACACAAGCGCAGACCGCAAGGCTCACAGCAAGCCAGCGCTCAGCCCGTCGTAACCAGCTCTCAGACAGCAACCGAATGCGCGTAACCACCCGCTTGCAGAACTTAGAGGTTGGCTGCCAATTTCTCATCCACCAGCGAACAACCTCAAGGACGAGACCACTTCAATGCGTTACACACAAAAGCAGTTTGATGATTCATATGAGTTTGGCATGAGTTTTTATATAGTTTTTCTTTTTTGTTTGAGTTTGAGTCCATTGTAACGGTTTAATTTTTTAATGTCCTTTCCTTATCCCTATGTTATCCCTGGTACTTATCATCGGCATTGTGGTGTGTGATACGCTTGTAACCTTATCGAAGAGCAAGCGGAGTGTTTATTGCTTTGCCACAAATAGAAGTGAAGGCGAGACCGAGCTTGGGTGTGGGAATATTTCCGTGCCGTAAAGTGCACCGTGCGCTTAGCATATGCTTTCCGGCCATTTTTCACTCCCCCTCCGGCTGCTGTTTGTTTGCATTTAATGGTTTTAACAGTTGTATGCTTCTGCTTCTTCTTCCACCTCGTCATTTATGACATTCTCTGACCACCGCTGTGTCACAACAAAAACTCCGCACAAAACGTGCGCATCAACAATTCTTTGCTTTTATGATTTTTTCCCGCTGTCTTCGTGCAGCATCATCTTCTGCGGAGCTCAAGCTCTTCATTTGCATTGGTCTCTCGTTGTGACATGTGTGTGTGTGTGTGTGTGCGTGTTCGATGCACGTGTCGCGCTGCCAGTACCCACCCTGAGGCCGGTGAATCTGTGTACTCTCAGCGTATGCTACCTGTCACATCCACACAATCGACACTTTGTGCTCCCCGCAGGAGTCGCCGTTCAGAAGAATTGCAAATACAATAAATTAATATTTTCTTTATTCGACATACTCGTAGTTTGCATTAGTTCTTTGCTGCTGTTGTTGTTATTTGTTGTGTGCAATTGGCGGATGGCACGCATTAAAGTCTATGATGAGATTGTTAAGCGACAGGAAGTGATAAGCTGCGTACAAGGTGAGCGCGGTACGGCGGTTCGAACTTCGGTGGTGTACACTCGAAAAAATGTATGGGCTTCTAAGCCTACCGAGCCGCTGAGAGATATACAGTGTTAATACTTTCTCAGTGGGAATCCTAGCCGTTAAGAAATGATACGATTGGGTGTACTTGGATTAGTGGTTAGTTCACTGAAAAAATCTTATCCTTCC